AAGTGTAAACTATTATTGTGACTGGGAACTTGATTTGCTGTGTAATTCTGTTGTGTGCTGTCCAGACGTGACAGTATACAAAGATTTGTACTACTATATATGTTATAATATTATAGACGATCAATAAATATGATTACCAGTTATTACATCTGTATTTATCATCACATGCATTCTCAAAAATATTTATCTTCCATAAAATGCAATGCATAAAAGATCACGTAATACTTAAAAAAATAAGAACTTGTTTATCACGCACTGCACTGCATATCAAAAAATAAACAAAAGAATAAGTTGTTTATATGCATTACATTGCTCTAAGCTTGTTCTTCTAAGAAACTTTGTTTAAGGTACTTTAAACATAAATATTTTTATTATCTGTTCAAGTTACTTTATCTTTTTTTTTCCTATCTTTTTATTTATATTCAAAAGAATGTTGTTCTCGATAACCTTAACTTCACTTGTCAGTGCTGTAGTCATCTCGGCTTCTGTGATCTTATTAATATCCGAAAAATACTTGTGTGTATCCTTAGAAAATTAATATATATTAAAATGAAAAAGAATTACTAACTTAATTTTTTTTTGTAGTGAGACTAAAGAACAGGAAAAAAGGTAAACAAATGAAAATTCGAATCAATATTTAGAAGAAACAAATGAAGCAAATAATGAGCAAAGTAAATATCAAACTTCGTGTATTGATTATTTAAAAATATAGACCAACCTAACTTTTTTTTTTTATTTTTAGATGATTTACGCTCGCAACATCAAATACTTCAACAAAATAAAAAATTTGTAAGTTCACCATTTATAATCAATGAAAAACAACAAAAACGGAATTCGGTGATTGCAAACAACATACTATATTAGAGAGCATTACCGAAGAAACGGATAATGAAATAGATAATGAAATAACAAATAATGAATCATTATTAACCCATGATGGAAATGTTGCTCGTCGTAAGTATCAAATTTCGTGCATTAATTATTTAAAATCATACAAGTCTAATAATATATTTTTTATTGATTTCTAGGATCTATAAATTCCGCGTTGGTATCTAGAAGAAAACAACAAAAGCTAAATAAGATCTCAAAACGATATACACGCATGGAAAGTATTATGGAAGGAACAGATGAAGAATAATACTTATCCATTGTTTTTTTTTATTTCATTATATCGTTTTACTTTAATAATTTTTAATAATCTTTTAATTTGTTATATTTGAATAAAAGTGTATTTTATAAATACAAATTTTAGTAGCTTATTTTGTAGATAGATTTATATTATTTAATAGATTATATTTAATACATGATAGTTTATTTAATAAATTGATTTATACTTTAACAATTATTTAGAGAAGAATAACCTGACAACAATATTAATTACTAATAATTATTAAAACATATTAAATTAAATTACTCAGCGAAATCAATTAAGAGTTCGGATTTTAATTAATTTTATTTCGAAGCATTAAATATTATTAATTTTACATTTATTAATATGCACCCTGCTGAAGGGTACACAATGAGTAGTAAGAAACCACAGGGAGGGCAAAATGAAGGTATAACATTTATTTTTTTTATTCAAAGAATGCAGATGTGAGTCATAATTAATTCATGCTCTTAGTGAACATTGTTAATGAACATGAGTTATATATTATATTACATAGGCAACTTGTGAACAAGTAACTCTTACACTCCAAGAATTACGAAATGCTGTTGATAACTTTGCTGATACATTTAAAATATCACGTAAAACCACATTCTCACCAGGCAACGAATTTTATTAGAACTTCAACAATTGATTAGAATGGATATGGTTAGAATTGCAAAATTCATTAACAACGAACAAGGGAAAGCATTTTGGATGCTAAAGGGATGTTTATTAATTATTACAAGTGGTTGAACAAAGCTTGTAACATTACCAATTTATTAATGGGCGAATTTTTTGCCGTTTCGACTAATATGGATACCTATACTATCCGAGAACCTTCAAGTATTACGGCTGGAATTTGTCCTTTCAATTCTCTTGACATGACCCCTTTATGGATGTTCCCTTTATCTATTGCATCCGAAAATACTATGATAATTAAGCCATCCGAAAAAGATCCAGATGCCACCATAATTCTTGCTGAATTAGTTAAAGAAGCAAGAGTTCCACTGGGTATTCGTAATATTGTTCATGGACCTATTAATATCGAAGATTTTTTATGTGATGATGATCATAAAAAAAACAATTTCTTTTGTTGTAAGTGATAAAGGTAATTCCCTTTTTTTTCATTCATGTATTTCATATATTTCATATGTCTCTGCTGGTGTAGTAAAATGTCTCTTATCGATTCTACTGAATCTGGTCCTACACAAAAAAGATATATCATTTTTGCATCAGGTTACAGGTTCACTATAAAAGTATATTATGATAGAGACCCATGCAAAGTATAAAACCACAAAGAAACCTGTTGAAAAAAATCCGGCAGAGATATTTCAATAGAAGGAAAAATTTATGCTTATAGTGTTGATATTATCCGGAATTTGCAGAGAAATACTTAAAAGAATGTCCAGAACCGTTAGTTGAAGATTCACTTGTGATGATTACAACAGTCCGACTTTTAATTTGGATTGTATAAATCAAGCTGATTTCTCTAAAAACAGTAAATATATTTTCCCATCATCTACTGACTCTGGCATTACTATATATGTCTTAGTCAGCATTTTCACTGGAAGCAGATGTCCGCATCATAGAGCTTGATCTCTGTGACATTATATGTCCCCAACTGCATATGATTGACATTCTAGGCGACCAATCTTTTATTAATCGATTAATTATTATTTGTTATTCTACTTTATTATTATCATTATTTTTATTGTTCATTAATAATTATTATTTGTTATTATTATTTATTATTATTTTTATTTTTATTATTATTATTTATAATTTACATAATTTATATTTCATTATAGATAACACAGATTTATGTTATGTAAAAAAAATTATATGTCTATGAGACATGAGTGTATTAATTTTTCATTGATAACAACTTATCTGATCGGACGGATATTGCCCAAGATTGTCCTTATTCAAAGGAAATCTCAGGAACATTGTACGTGTACTTTACTGGTCGTAGATAGGTAAGTGTATTAATTAATTAATAATGATTATGATTATTATTTATAATTAATTATTGTGAATCTTTGGTCACGCATAAAGGATTTCAAGGGCGTGCTTTGTTTTTAGGCACTTTCTGTAATGGTTGTCCTAATATTGATGACAAGGTCTTGGTTCAGAATTATTATTTACTTTAGTATCACCTGAAATTTTACTACCCTTTAATTCGTTAAATTTATTGGTCCATAATCAAACAGGTGATCAACGGGTTATTAGAAGGATGTGACAAAGATCTGTTTACAAATATTGTTTTCACAAGCAAAAAATTCTCTGTCCTCAGGATCTTTAATAGAATCGATATTCGAAAGGTGTGACAATAGGTGATAAATACGATATCCTGACAGCCCAAAGCCTAACCCCTGAAAGTTACGAAAATATCATGTGGATAGAAAATTTCTGGTGAAGGAATTATTGGTGATATCACGTGTGATGTAACAATGAGAGTGGTGACAATTTTTAAGGTTGGGAACAATCGCCGACGTAATAGCTGGTTTAACATCTATTCTTTCTGATTGGATGGCAAAAAGAACCATTCATCATAAAGTATGTGTAAAATTTTTTTTTTTTTTTGAATAATGATTAAATATAAATTGAATATTAATTTTTTTTTTTCTTTAGCTTGTCCATTTATAATGGGGGTTGTAGCTGCTCGCAATGCTGATTCAGATGCTTTTGATTTCTCTTCTGCTTCCGCGTTATCGTCAATTAATTTTAGTTGTGAAGTTTATGAACAAATATTATAACTGATAATGATCTTGAAGATTGAAGACAATGCATAGAAGATCTAGACAAATATTTTGAAGTTAGTGATATATGTGAGACATTGGTACAGATAAATTATCAATGAAGAATCTGAAAAGCTAGGAAAAATACTTTGTGTCATGTTAGTGAAGTTAACACCAATTGTTATGAAAAAGTTTGTGATATATGCGATATATTGATACAGATAAAGGATCACTGAAGAATCTGATGAAACCTGGAAAAATATTTTGTTTCATGTTAATAAAGTTATCACTGATTATTACGAATTAGAAGATAGTATAGTAGATAATTTAAATTAAAATATAATAATTTTAATAAATGAATAATGAAAACGGTTTATTATACGGATATTCATTTTCTCTACTAATCAATAAATTATTACACTGGAAGATTCAAATTAAAAAAAATAAGAGAAGTTTATTTTTATTATTTCATTTTATTGAATAGAAAACAATTTATCGTATTTAGAAATTATTTTTTCTTACTTTCAATTGTATTTGATCATTTAAATAAATTAATTTATGTGTATGTTAAGTTTAAATGCCTATTGATTTTGTGATTCTAATGAAATATTCTAATACCAAGAATTCTCAACAAAGGAAATAATTTTTTGTAAATTCGAAATTATATATTAGACAACATATTTCAAATCCATGTAACACATCACAACTCTTATTGTTGAATAAACTTCTTCGAAGCCATATTATTAATATACAACATCTGAATAAAAAATCATTTTAATGTAAAATAGAATAAAAATTTTATTGATGAATATATAAAATTTATTACATTCCTAATCAAGGACATTTAATTGTACAACAACAACAACATACATAAAAAATAAACGAAGTAAAATTTTTTTAAATCAATTACAACTGACACTCTGCAAAATGAAATCGACTATAATAAAAAAATATTTTTAGAATATTAAAAAAAAATAATATTTAATATTCTTGATAAAAAGAATATACTTACATGACATTTTATTCCTCTTACATCCACCCGGGCCATCATCATTATCTTCGTCATCGTCGTTATCATCATCTTTATTATTATTATATTTGTCCTTCTCATCTTTACACCCACCACCTATTAATCATATTATTTTTATTATTGATTGTTTTTTCATTTCGTTTTTATCATTAAAATTTTAAAAAAAAAATTATATACCTTCGATTTCGTCATGTCTTCTCTTTTTGCCCCGTTTTTCTTTTTCGATCGAAACTGCAACCAGCATATTTAAGTTATTTCCATGATTTTTCCCGACTGCAGTTTCGATCTCTTGTTGATATCGGCTCGTAGCAGCTGTGGCCAAAATATTAAGAGCAGAGTTCTGTTGTTGATGTTGTTGTTGTTGCTGCTGATCAGCACTTTTTTTCGGTCTCCCACGACCTCTTTTCGTAATATTTTGTTGTTGTTGTTGTTGTTGATTAGTATTATTCTTTCTTGGCCTTCCTCGGCCCCTATGTTGCTGCTGTTGTTGTGACAATTGTTGTTGTGGTTGTTGTTGTGGTAATTGCTGTTGTTGCGAAAATTGTTGTTGTGGTGGTAATTGTTGTTGTTGTGGTAATTGTTGTGGTTGTTGCTGTTGGGATTGTTGTTGGCGTTGGCGTTGGGCTCTCGTAAAGACCATTTCGAAAAATATTATTATTTGATAATTCAAAGATTTATTCTTATTTGAAGGAATATTTTAATTCGAAAATATATTTTTATTTAGGGAATATTTAAATTTTCAAATTTGTTTTTATTGAGTAATTTAAGGATTTGTTTTTATTTGAGGGAATATTTTATATGAAAATTTATTTTTTATTTGAGGTAATATTTTAATTCGAAAATTTATTTTTATTTGAGAGAATTCAAGAATTTATTTTTATTTAAGGGAGTATTTATTCAAAGATTTATTTTTATTTGAGGGAATTTTTTAATTTGAAGATTTGTTTTTATTTTATTTGAGAAAATATTTAATTCAAATACTTATTTTATTTTAGGAAATATTTTTATTTCAAGTCTAATTCAAAGATTTATTGATTTTTTTTTTTTTTTTTAAGGAATTTTTCGTCTTATTTATAGATCTCAAATGCGAATTTTTAAAATTTTAAATTATAGTATTTTATTAAAATATTACAAATATTGTATCAGATTAAACCACTTTCAATAAAATATATTATATCTATTTAATTATTAGTCTAAAAATCTTTTTTCAACAAAATTGTTTATTTATTCTATTACACAAACAAATATGGAAATTTTTTAGATAGCATGAAATAATAATTGTTAGTTTCTCGCGATTAATTATTTGTTTGGTGCCTCAGATTAAAATGGAAAATATTAACATGTACTTTTTTTGATCAAGTGTATTATTTTACATATATGGTATAGCATGAAATTATATCATTATTTCGAAGTATTGATTGACAAGAATCATGTAGATCGCGGGGAGTTAAAATATTGATGATAACTATCTTCTTTAGATAATATACAATATGTTATTATGCACAAACAAATAATGTGATGCATAATATTGAAAGAAAAAAAAAATAATAATGAAAAAATTTTTTTTCAGCCGCAAAATTTTTTATTCTTTTCTAATTAAAATAACAATAATTAATATAATATTATAAATGATAAAATAAAATGTTAATAAATGATAATATAAATAAACCAACTTATAATAACATGTATATACGATATAATTGATTACATCAGATAGTTTTCGGAATTTTAATTAAATTAATTAAATTGGATTATAGGATGTATGTGTATACAGTGTACAATTCACTAGGAAAATAATTCAAATAAAACTATTAACAAATTTATTCTTCAATAAATATCAAAAAAAATTTTTATACACACTTTTTATGTAATCTTGAAATTATTTCGGTGAGATTAATCAGATCAGAAAGAAGATTAAAAGATTAATATTAATGATTTTTCAAATATTCAAAATATATTTTTATTATTTTAAATTAAATAAATTCGATAAAAAATTGTAAATTGTGTAAAGTAAATCGTTGTTAATAAAATTATTATTATTGTCTTGATATTGATTTCGGACTTGAGGGATCAAACGATCATAACCTTCATTTTTTACTAAATCAGCTTGTTTCAATAACCATATCTTAAACTCATTTTGAGCGGGACACTTAATAATGTTTGATAAAAATATTTTAGTAAAGGCTTTTAATAAGATAGTTTTTTAGGGTAAAAATAAATTTTTTGCTTTCGTATAATAATGAAAAAATTGTCTTTGCCGATCTTTTATTTATTAAAAGGAGGAAGAAGGTATTTGATGATCGTATTTAATTAATATAATATGATCTTTTGTAATTTATTTATAATTATGACATATTTTCTATAATATTCATTTTTTTCAATTAAAATAAAATAACTATTTAAACTAACTCCTTTTTTCTTTTTTCCTTTTCCCTAGATCTGATGTAATTCATCTGTACTGCGACACATAGTTTAAGATCCGTAAGCTTTTTTATATTATTATCACATTATTTATTCATTTGATAATCATATATTAGGTCTCAGACCATATTTTCATGGGATTTACATCAAATTTCCAAATTTATCGTTAATAATAACGATGACACTTGATCAAGTTTTCAAAGAACTAACATACGATTTGACAATAACTGATGGATATCTTATTGTATCACTTAAGGGTATAAAAAATTATTATCGCACAGCATAATAAGTTGATAATATCTTGATAGTTATTAGAATTTTTGGATTTTTTAAAAAAGAATAATTACCAAAATGGGGCAAAAAAGTTCAATAATTATAATATTTATTATAGGAATTTTCACTTTTTCTACATTTATTTCGTGATTATTAAAAAAATATTTCCATAAGCCACCGGTAATCATTCCTCTCCTATTGAAATAATATATCGATATAATGATCATTCAATAATACAATATATTATAAGATATATTAAATACACTGAGCATAATTATAGTACATAGTAAAATTATTTATTTGCTATACTTACTATAGAGAGAAATGATTACCGGTGGCTTATGGGAAATTTTTTTTAATAATAACGAAACACATGCAGAAAAAAAGTGAAAAATCCTATAATAACTATTATAATGAATAATATTAGAATATTTTCTTTATCACTTGAAAATATTCGGCAATACAATATATTGTAAAATATATTAAATATAGTACGTAGTATTAATTATTACGTTAGCTTCCATAGTATAATTATTCATTTGTTATACATATTATTTCACTAGGAGAGGAATGATTGCCGATAGCTTATGAGAAATTTTTTTTTTAATAATAACGAAACACATGCAAAAAAAAAAAAGTAAAAGATCATATAATTAACAATTATAATTAGGAATATTCTTAGAATGTTTTCTTTATCATTGAAACTATTCGATAATACAATATAAATATTTTTATATTATAAAATATATTAAATATACTGAGCTGTAATTATAGTGCGTAGTATTAAATATTACGTTATCTCCCATGGTATAATTATTCATTTGTAATATAAATAAATACAAAAGTTGATCTTGTGATTATGATTATTATTATGAATGTAACCGTTAAGGTAGATATAATGATCAGTAAATAAATGTAAGCGGTATAAATCACTTATTATTAAAAATCTCATGATAGAAAATTTTTTTCTTTATTATATTTTCTTCTTGTACAAAAAATAATAATTATCCGATCAACAGAAAAAAAAAATTTGCAACCTAAACAATATTTAATCCCTTTTTTTTAAAAAAAATTTTCAAATTTAAAATTTTCTTGAAATCTTTAAGTAATTATTCTTATTAACTCAAGGTACATTTTTTTCCAAGTTTTTTTTTTATTTAAAACAATAATAATAATAATTGCGTCTCATAATTTATCTCTTTAACGTAGGCAGCTTATATATAAACGTACTAAATAATTAAAAGAAATAAATACGCGATACTTAAAGAATTATTAACTCAAGGTACATTTTTTT